CTGCCCCAGGCCCTTTAAATTGCCGCCAGAGCCCTGCTGCTGGAGCCCTGGGGTAGCAGTGGGGCTCCAGGGGTTATTTAAAGGGCCTGGGGCAGTAGAGGCAGCGGGAGCCCTGGCCCTTTAATAACCCCTGGAGCCCCACTGCTACCCCAGGGCTCCAGCAGCAGGGCTCTGGCGGCAATTTAAAGGGCCTGGGGCTCCAGCCGCTGCTGGGAGCCCCAGGCCCTTTAAATTGCTGCCTGGGGAAGCCGGGCCACCCCAGTACGGCGCACCGGCTCTTGCCGGTACGCCATACCGGGGTGTACCAGCTTACTTTCACCTCTGGTAGTGGCGCACCAAGAAGACGGGTCATCCAAGTCTATCCTTATCTGGACTATTGGCTGATCAGAGACAGGTCCCAGCAGGAGATGATGCTAAACCTCAAATATGCACTCTCTGTTTGCTCAGATGAGCCTCCTAGTGAACTATTGAAAAATCATCTCATATTCTGTCACAGATGATAGTGTTCATGGAAATTATGGTCAATTACAGGTAAGAGAGAGTGCATCTTCTCGAGGACAGATTCCTGTCATTGCAATTAGTACTATTCAAGATAAAAATCAAGCTTGGCTACAATGATACTGGCCTGCCATGGAGGGTTGGGCCATATGTCAACATGCACATACATGACGCTGCTTGTCTGACTACTTCTGTGGCTTCTATAACTCTGGCTTTTGTCAGTCTACTCTTTGGTGATATGCTGGATGGACAGGAAGATGTTGTTGCCATCTCATGTTGTTGCAGAACTAGGATGGTTGCTAGAACTCAGCAGAGGCTAGGGACCCCTCCCACACTCCAAACCCCTCGGCCCCACCCTTGCCACACATCACCTCCATATTGGTGCACATAACAAAATTCATTCCGCACATGGATATAAAAAATTAGAGGGAACATTGCACAAGATCTAATAGTTAAGATTGGTGGGAAGAAGTTTTCTTCTGAACTGAAAATATAATGTTCATTTAATTATGATTCTTTGAAACTGTATGACTATAATGCTTTCCTTCTGTCTTTTTGCTGTCATCTAAGATGTGAATTCTTTCTGTGAAAAAATGTATTTGCTGTGTGACTTATTGTATTGGTGATTAAATATAAATTTCTTTTTGGTACTGAATGAAGTAGGCTCTCAAAAATAATTTTCAGAGAAGAAATGACCCTTTTAACATCCCACTTAGTTAACTGAGTAAGGAATATGATTAATCTCCGAGTGCAACAGCTGATTTCACCTTGGTAATGTTCTCTAACAACTTATTACAGTGACAAACTGTTAATGAAAGAGTTGTAAGAGTTCTAAGGTGTCTTGTAACAATCTAGAGACTCTGAACCCAGTTTTTAAAAGAAGAATCTTTAATGGATGTCCATATCCAACATTTGAATCGTCAGATTAATACTTGAGAAACTAAAATGGTCATTTAACATGCATAAGTGCCTTTATATTTTTAATTTTATTTTTTGCATCCAAATGAGGAATTTGTATGTCATGTTAAAGCAATCAATTGAAAATTGGATTCCTCCACTTGATTTGGTTCTGAAGATCCTAGATTATGTATTCACTGCATAAAGATTCAGTAAATAGCTATGCTTTCTATTATACAAGAACAATTTAAAAAGGGAAAATAAGAACGGCCATACTAGGTCAGACCAAGGGTCCATCTAGCCCAGTATCCCGTCTTCCAACAGCGGCCAATGCCAGGTGCCTCAGAGGGACTGAACAGAACAAGTGATCTATTCCTTGTCGCCCATTCCCAGCTTCTGGCAAACAAAGGCTAGGGACACCATCCCTGCCCATCCTGGCTAATAGCCATTGGTGGACCTATCCTCCATGAATTTATCTAGTTCTTTTTTGAACCCTGTTTATAGTCTTGGCCTTCACAACATCCTCTGGCATTCATTTATTTTTTTCTTGCAAATTTTTTATACTTCTAAAACATTTGATATTTGAAATCATCTTAAATATAACTTACTGCTGCTTTAATTCACTTCTGTTAAATCATAGTTTTTCTTGTTAATTTTGCTATTCTATTCTTTCAGCTATTACCTTTACATGTGTGATAAAGTGGTTGCTCCAAATGTATCCCTTACGTTGCAATGTAAAGAAGCTACAAAAACAGCAGTCAAGATTTCAGAAGTAATTAAATCTTTACCTGGACAGTCACAGAAACAAGTCAATAGTGTTAAACACAAAAAAGCTGCCTCCTATCCAGAGCTCTCTCTTGAAGAGCAGGAAAAAATCGACTTAAAAACTAGCACAGAACTGCATAAAAGTGTGGGTGAGTAGATAATGAAATTTGAAACTTGCTTTCATGTTCTTTCAGTTTTTATACCCAATAATATCTATTTTAGTAAAGATGAAAGGTAAGCCAACTTTGTAATTTTCATATATTACTTCATTCTTTTTCTACATTCTTATGCATTTTACATAATCTTATAGGTTGTTTTGTATTTTTGCAATCTGGAATTTCAATGAACAAATTTTCACAAGTGTTTTGCTACCTTTTTGTCTTTTAAAGATCCACCTATGTCAACTAATTCTACAAGAAGAGGGAAATCTGAACATGCCACTTCCAAAGCCACTGCAGAATCTAACCAGGTTGAAGTAGGCAATGGTGCACAAACCTCATCCCCAACTCCTATCAAGGACATTAATTGTGAAGATGACAAGGGAAGAATCATGGAGGAAGTAATGAAAACCTACCTTAAACAGCAAGAAAAACTGAATACTATTTTGCAAAAGAAGCAGCAGCTTCAAATGGTATGGTACCAACCTTTGATTTTATCACCAGAAAACTGTTGTTCCTGTTAGCTTGTTGGTCCTAGAATCAGTACTACTATTAAAAATAAAGCACAAGTGATACTTCATATTAGGAACCTGACATTCACTATATTGTCTTTCTAATGTAAGTTATGTTAACATTTTCAGTATAAACTATAAAACCATTTTTAATGGATTTTACCGAGTTTCAGATCTTGGTACATGTGTATTGCCAAGATCACCACTTGGGAGAAAAAAAAACCCACATGCTTCACTTTCTAATTAATTTTTGGTGCTTAGATATTTCTTTCAATGTGCATTATATATTTTAATAGAATTCTTTAAGTATAATTGTCAAAATCCACTTTTTAACCAAAATAATCCATAGGTCCTATATGGTGTTAATTTGTAGGTTTGGAGGCTAAATACTCAACTAGTATATGACCTTAATAATTAAAGTATAGTTTAATAGCTGACTGTATTCAAACCCTGTGTTTTTTCTATCACATGCCAGGTAGTTTAAGATCTTGCTGCTATCTAAACCATTACCGGAATAGAAACTTCCTTCCTTTGTCTAATATTGTTTCACTAGCAGTTGACATAATTTACTCTACATTTAACCATTTCAAATGAGCTGCAAGTTGCTAGCTACTTGAACAATAATTATTTGACTCCGTTTTGAGTAAAATTTAAGATCACCTCTCACATACTGTCAGATCATGTCTTAGGCTTTTGATCTATTAAGTAAAATTAACAAAAGGGAAGAATTCTTAATGAATAAAACTATACTTTGAGTTTATATCTGTGGTAGAAAAATTGAGGGGGTTTGGTCACTAGAAAAATCTCAACCTTCTACTAGCTATCATTGGCATTTAGGATTGACAGATAACAAAAGCTTTGCCTTTTATCTTTGCATGTGGTACAATATAGTACACTTACTTTTGAAATAATATAGCAGTGCTGCATTCATTGATAGCTAAGATTTAATTCAGCAATAATAAAATGTCATTTCCAGAGTAGTGTAATATATTTTTAAAACACAGTTCAGGTGCTGTACTTAAATTTCCTTTTCTTACAGGATATTTCTGTTGTTAACTAGAATTAAACAGCATTGGCATTACAAAAATAGTTACCTAATATTCTTGCTAAAGTTGTATTCACACAATTTAATGCATGCACATTACATTTGTATACCAAATTTTACTCTAGGCCTTATGTACGTGAAAATATAATTTAATAGTAAATGAGGCTGAAATTCAGCCCACTGCAGAGGTTAGGGGCTTGCATGGTGCCCAAGGCTTTGTGCAGACCCTCTGCAGTGGGGTGAATTTCATGCTTATTTAGTTTAGTATGAAATAAAGTTTTGTTGTTTCTTTATACCTGAAGTTTGCATCTACATATGCACAAGGACGTTTGCTCTACTTGAGTCCCTCTTAAACCCTGCGATAAAGTTTAGCGCTGTCAATGGTGTATAGACACTGTGGTAATCTTTACTCTGAGTGAATAAATATTAGCACTGATCCTGCAACTGGTTCAGTGTGTGCAGATCCTTGGTCCTACATGGAGTAAATTGCAGGTTCTGGGCTTAAGTAACTTCACTGTGTTAACTCTCTAGTTCAGTTAGCAGGTAAATACATTCTCCACAGCCATCTTTGCAGAATTATAGATGAAGGCCACAAAGGACCTTTATGATCACTTAGTCTGACAAAACATTGAACTTCACCCAGTAATTCCTGCCTTAAAGCCAATAATTTATGACTGAACTAGACCATATCTTTTAAGAAAACATCAAATCTTGATTTAAAGACTTAATGTAATGGAGAAAGCACACATTTGATAAGATGTTCCAGTGGTTAAGTACTTTCATTGTTTTTTCCTTAAAAGTGCATTATTTCCAGTTTGAATTTTTCTAACTTGAACTTCTAGACTTTGGATCTTGTTATGCCTTTGCCTGCTAGATTAAAGAGCTCATTAGTACCAGGAGTGTTCTCCCTTTGGGTAGGAACTTACAGATAGTGATCAAGTAGCCTCTTAACCCTTACTTCAATAAAATAGATTGAGCTCTTTAAGAGATTGAGTCTCCCTCTGTAAAGCATGTCCGCCAAACCTTAAATTATTCTTGTAGCAATTCTCTGAACTTTTTTCAATTTTCAACGTCATCCCAAGGTGTGAACATCAAAACTGAACACACTGTTCAGCAGTAGTCCCACCCAGGCCATATAGAGAGATAATGACATCTTTTAATTTCTATTTGATATTCCTCTTTATACAGCCAAAAGGATTTTGTTAGCCTTTTACCAATGCATAACAATCAAAGCTCATGTCAGTTAGTTATCTACCCTGACCCCTAAATCCTTTTCAATGTCACTGCTTTCCAGGATACAGTCCCCCCCCATCCAGTAAATATGGCCTACATTCTTCCATCCTGGATGTAAGATCTTGCATTTGGCTGTATTAAAACTCAAGTTGTCTGTTGTGCCTAGAATACCAAGTAATCTAGAGCAGTGCTTCTCAAAGTCAGGCCGCCACTTGTTCAGGGAAAGCCCCTGGCGGTCCGGGCCGGTTTGTTTACCTGCCGCGTCCACGGGTTCGGCCGATCGCGGCTTACACTGGCTGCGGTTCGCCGCTCCAGGCCAATGGGGGCTGCGGGAAGGGCAGCCAGCACATCCCTCGGCCCGCGCCGCTTCCCGCAGCTCCCATTGGCCTGGGACAGCAAACCGCGGCCAGTGGGAGCTGTGATCAGCCGAACCTGTGGACGCGGCAGGTAAACAAACCATCCCGGACCGCCAGGGTCTTTCCCTGAGCAAGCAGCGGACCGGCTTTGAGAAGCACTGATCTAGAGTGTTCTGTATAAATGATGTCATTTATGTCACTCCACCAATCTTTGTGCCGTTTGCAAACTCTATCAGCAGTGATTTTATCTTTCTTCCAGATCTTTAACAAAAATATATACTGAATAGTATAGTGCTAAGAATTAATCCCTGTAGAACCCTAGTAAAAACATGCCACTCACTGATGATTTCCTACTAACAATTGTGTTTTGACATCTGTCAGCCAGTTTTTAATCCATTTAATATGTGCTATAGTGATTTTTATAATGCTTGTTTTTTAATTAGAATGTGTGTTAATTTTAATCTTGATTTTTTTCTTCAGCACCAAGAGTTAAAAAATAAACATTTGTCAAAAACTGTTGAATAGTGTTTCAAACCCCAGTAGGGTACAATCACTTCTCAGTAGGCAAGTCTCTCTTTTCAGGTGGATTGAGCACGGAATTCAGCAAAGGATTGAGTTGCTCTAGGTCATTGTTCATCTGTTATGATTTTGGTCTAGATTTTTGTGAAATTTATTCCAGGATTATTCATTTGTGGCTAAAAACACTGCAGTTGATTGTCCTGGGCTCCTCTTTGGCCTATATACTTTCTATTCCTTTGTGCTCCAAACCATCAACTTTTCTGTTCAGTTGGTTGTGGTTTGGCTGATCCCACAAGATTTTTTACCACCATATGATAGCTTTTGAAATTTTGACTCTGATTCCATGCACCACAATATAGTTTTTCACCAGTCCTTCCCTCTAATGCCACATTTTGGTAAATTTTTGATTTTTATAATGAGCACCAGCACCAGGTACAAGACTTGTTTCAGAGTTGCAGGGAAGTTTTATGGTTCAATGTTTAGGGCACCAGACTTGGAGTCAGGAGGTTTGGGTTCTGTCATCAGCTCTTTTACTGTCTCACTGTTACTTTGTGCAAGTCAGTTTACTTTTCCATATTTCAGTTTTTATATCTGTAAAATCAAGAAAAATGATAGTTATCTACCTTTGTAAAGTGCGTTGAGATCTGTGGATGAAAGATGCTACGTGTTGGTATTTAAACAAAAAAAAACTTTTTGTGAAAGTATAAATATTAATTTCCTCTTTGGTTCCATGTAGTACTTTAGTTTTCAGTTAACCACTTTTGCCAGCTTCAAATATGTTTATATTTACTGTTTAGGCTGCTTACAAGGATTTCCCTTTTATAGTAACTTTTTAACTAAATATTCCAGCGAGGTTTGTCTGTTTTTCCCCTTGCAGCAGAAAAATATGTCTCCCCTTGAAAGTATATTGTCATCACCAGTTTGGCTCTGCTTCTTTGTTAAACTCAAATCAAGGAAAAATTAATTTAAATACAGAAGATTTCTTTCCCTTCTATTTGTGGTAGCAGAGACCTCTGCAGCTCTCCATAGCTAGCCTTAAAACCCTCTCTTCCATAGATACTTACCAGAGAAATTGTAGTACAAGGACTGAATTGAAGAAAAAGCTAAATATAATTATCGTAAGCGCTAATCACAAACTAACCTCTGCCCACTTGAGTCCGCAAAGCAAGATGCTACTTATATCAGATTGTTCATATCTTCATAATGTGATTCTCTCTCTTTCATGCATGCTTTGCATGCATTTATGTCAGTTGATCGTTGTCTTTGTTTCATGTGTTCTTTGACCAGCAATAAAGTAGTTAATTCCATTTTAACATTGGTATAATTAACTTCAGAATCAACACAACTGAGGTAAAATGGGACAACTCACGCCTCCCAAAGCTGCTATTTCAGGCTGCCTGCAGACTCTGGTATACATCATTAGTTTGATTACACCTGATTCAAAGACTTAGCTTTCATTTAAAAAAAATATTAAAACTGCAGAGGAAAAGATGGCAATATCCAGAAAAAATACTGATTTGCTAAGCTGCCACAAGCCAGCCTGTTTTGATCTCTGCATTTTCATATAAAAGAACAAATGTAATGTTCTTATTATTTTAATTGGTTTACAAAATGAAATGGCTGCTCACATAGGTTCACTTTTGCGACCAGTGAGTTGGTTTCTGGAAGCTCTGGGTGTTTGACAATACCACTTTGTTATATTGCATAATTACTACAGAATTCAACACTCCTATTTACACAGCAGCAAAGTGGACAATCTGTTTGTTTCTCCTCAGTATTTCCAGATACCCATTTAAATTAATGATTTTGATTGTAGTGATTTTAGAATCATTCTGTGTATAATCCTCATCCTTTCTTGACAGGAAGTGGAAATGTTAAGTAACTCTAAAGTTATGAAGGAACTAACTGAGGAGCAGCAGAATTTACAGAAAGAACTTGAATCTTTGCAAACTGAGCATGCTCAAAGAATGGAAGAATTTTATGTTGAGCAGAGAGACTTGGAGAAAAAACTGGAACAGGTGATGAGGCAAAAGTGTACCTGTGACTCCAATTTAGAAAAGGACAAAGAAGCTGAATATGCAGCACAGGTAAGGAAAAAAATATTGTTTGAAATCTGTCTTGTGTTTTGTACAGCACCACCTAGTTAATTATGACATTTCCAAGTAAAGTTAACTGTACTAGGCTGTTGCTAGCTCTGCTTTTAAACTTTATGATGAAGAGTGTGTTACCTGTACCACTGCCAGTTTTCATCTTCTTTGGCCTTTCCCCTCTTGTTATCCTAATGGCAACACAGCTCATGGAGATAGGACACCTCTGTACATGCCTGTTGACCAACGTTGAAGGGGACATAGGGTACAGAAACTCTTTACCTTCAGCATCTCTCCTTAGAGGTTATGCAGTTCTCTTCTTTTTGGGGATGCCTGCATTAAACCGTACCACAGTAATTTAATAAAAACAAGACTTTTTAAAAATGAGGAGAAAATGCAATTAAAACAAAAATGGTTTGCTTAATACATTTAGATTTGCACTTGTAAACTAAACAAAATAAAATATTCTCATTTTTAGTTGTAGAGAAAAAAAGAATGCTTATATTTCTTGAAAGCAACCCCTTCTCTGGCCACACTTTGGTTAGACTGACAGCTTCCCTTGGTGTCAGAGTCCACTACAGTATCAGGTGAGGCCACCTCTACTTTTCATAGAAGCATTTGATTAAGAGTCCTATTGGAGAGGAAGGCCACAGTCTGGGTTCCTCATCCCATGATTGTCTCCCGATTCATTACCTCTGGAAGTTCCCCCAGCTTTCCTGTCTCCAAGGTTGCTATGTCAAAAGCTGTGGTGACTTTCACTTCTTTAGACTACATAACTTTTAATCTATATCATTGTTCTTTTCTATAGGAGCTAGCGTCTGTCATTCTGCTAGATACATCAGCAGGTAGCATGGATTCTGACTCTTCTAAATATTTTGTTTATTAATTTTTGCTTACCATGAAACTTAAATTATTTCAGGTCTCAGTCCTTCTGTCATAGAGATCTAGTCATCCTAATTATTTAAAAACAAATTCTAGAACCCCAAATCAATAAGCTTTGTGGTCAACTCATCAATAAAATTATATTATATTTCCCTTTCTATACTTAAAGTACCACAAGATGAAAAGCAGCTACTGGCTTGTCACGTAGTCCCCGGGCGATGCTCTGGAACTGCTCCCTACGAAGCCAGTCAGGACTCTGGTGAAGTCTCCTCTCTGTGAGCAGACTGTCTTCAGGGCAAGAAGCTCACACGGCTTCACCTTCCTGGGTCTGACCTTGGAGCATTCAGCATTCTCTGCCCCTCCGTGCGCTTCCCACAGCGAGTCCGCCCAGGCGGGGTCCTGGGGAAGCCAGAGGGTCCTGCACTCCCACTTCACAGTCAGACGTGACTCTTAGCCAGCCAGTAAAACGGAGGTTTATTAGATGACAGGAACATGGTCTAAAACAGAGCTTGTAGGTACAGAGAACAGGACCCCTCAGCCGGGTCCATTTTGGGGGGGCAGTGAGCCAGACAACCACATCCGCACTTCACTCCACAATCCCCAGCCAGCTCCAAACTGACTCACCCTCCAGCCCCTCCTCCTCTGGGCTTTGTCCCTTTCCCGGGCCAGGAGGTCACCTGATTCCTTTGTTCTCCAACACCATTAGCTGTCTCCTTGCAGTGGGTAAGGGCCCAGGCCATTAGTTGCCAGGAGACAGTGTCGGCCATTTAGATGCACTGGCCCTTTGGTCTGCAACAATTACACCCCCTTATCCCACCACTTAGCGACTTAAGAAATGCATAGGGGAAACTGAGGCACCACTACAGTATTCAGAGGAAACATTAAGAACAGTCCCACTTCGTCACATGGCTGAATGAAGAAGTATTTGGTTTAGGATCAGAAATCCTTTCTGTTGAGCTTAATTTCATGACATTCTGCTCAGTAGGATTCCTAACCTCTGCTGTCAGAAATAATCCTTTCTGTGTGTAGTGCGATTTACTAAACATGTGGTACAAGCCCCATTACTGCAGAAAACAGCATATTCTGACTTACGAAGATAATTATGTTCAATGTGTTTTTTGTATAGTGTACATTCTTTGGAGGGCACAAGCAGTAAATTATTCTCCAAAGGGTTTTTTAAAAAGTTAGATTTATGAGGGTAATCACATTTCTTTCACATAAACTCCCAATTGTTTAGCTGTGTGGTTCAACTGGACAGTATAGCTTATTCAAGTGTTTTTCTCTAATTATTTCTGTTACTAGCAATTGATTTTGGCCATACCTGTCAGCATCAATCACAGCCACACCTGAGTGAAATATGATTCTTTTGAACAGTGATTTCTTCAGAGGCTGGATGTAGCATTCCAGAGATCCTCAGTTCACTGTTTCTATCATAGAAAGCATCTGCAGGCTCTGCTCTCTACCTCAGAGAGCTTTAAATTGTGAGAAATGCCCCTCTGCTGGGAAGCCAAGAAAAAGCAGACTTCAGAGCTAAACTGGATCACTGTTCTTCCTGCTGGACCAGCCTGAGGGTGTGGTGGGTGGAAGTCCCTTCTTCCTGGCTCCCTCAGTGAGTATAGCAAAATGGTCTAGTCTAATCTGCCATTTTACCACACTTGCCACCAGTTCCCTACAAAGTATGGTGGAGCAGTTTAGCCAGTGTCACTAGCCTGCCAATGGATCCTTCCAAATGGCTGGAATCCTGCAAGAAAGTGCAATCAGAGGCTCTCTTCCTGGCTCCTGCACTGCATACATCACAGTGGCATTATGCATATTATTTCATTGCACCGGTTACCTGCTCTCCACAGAAGCACAGTAGTAGAGTCAAGGAGTCCATGCTAACAGCCTGCCACTGTCAAAGGACCATCTTATTGGCCTCGATCATGAAGAAAGAGGTCAGTACTAAAGGAGAAAGTGCCCCAAATGTGGCATGGTTCTAAATGCAAAGCAATTGGGTCTACCTGTGCCTGGCACACTTCAGAAAAAGTAGAAAATGCTTACGCCTGTGTAAGTGCCCAGCTATCTGAATCTCCTACTTTGCTAATCCTATTCTCCTTTATCCCTCCAAGACATTTTAGTCTGGGTGGGCTACCCATAGCTGTAGAGGTAGATGAGTTCTCCAGATTTCATAAGGCCCTTTTGCTATAGATAAATGATTGGATTATCAATATACATGAGTCACATAGGGAGCTGGAGTATAAGACTGCTTATTTGACTGCTTAAGGTACCCTTCTGAGAAAGCTGGCTGAGCTCCCACCAAAAAAAAAAACAAAAAAAATCAGCAGGCTTCTCCAGTTTCCACTTCTCTCCTAAAAAGAGTTTTGTGGAAGGAGAGGAATGGAGGGGAGGAAAAATCTAGACTAAGACACTTGAATCCATGATAATTCCTTTGGGGGGGAAAAGGAGTTTGAATGTAAGAGACACTCTAACCAAAACACAAATAAATGTTATGTTTATATTACAATTCTCTACTAGATGGCTTCAATATTTGATTTATTTCTCTCATTTTTCCTCTTTGTTTTTACTGCATTGGGCTTAATGTCACTTTTCAAAAATGCATCCATATCTGCTGTCCCCACCACCTTCTTAAAAAAAGAACGTGGAGACTTAGGGATAAATTAGTTCAGTTCAGACTTGGGAAATCTTTTCAAACCAGTTTAGACTCATTAGGACACAGTGGATACATTTTCCTTTGTTCTTAAAATTTGAGCTCTTAGAGCCACCATCCGGCCAAAATTATGGTGCAAATGCTTGGTGTATGTATTTGTACAATTTTTATATGTACCTATGGATACTAAAGAGCTGCTTCAGAAAGTTTTGGTTTTACAGGCACTTGGCTGTGAGTGCTGTAGTTCTACATAGTCTCAGCAGAGTGGTCTTATTTGCTTCAGATATATTCCCTGTACTACTAGAAAAGAGAGAAATAGAAGAAATTTTAAAACATACTATATGTAAAGGTAATTTAATTCCAAGCCTTTAAAAAGCTGATTGGAAAATCATCTGGAAAATCCCTTGGGAACCTATAGGAGTCCTCCAAACATCATAATTTGCTTCCAAAATGTAGGTCAGATATGTATATAAAACCCCTGCATAGGAATTAGACACGCTCCAGTGGCTGAAATGGATAATGAAACATTCGCCCTTTTAATGGTCCTTAAACCAATGGGGCAAACTTGTACATTTTTTTCTCCTTCTGAGTTGGTTCCACCTCAGAGAGATATACAATAGAAATTATATTAAAAAGTGGTACTTCATGGAAATTCAAGAGGTTTCTCCTCTTTTCTACTTTTTTGTCTTGTATATTAGCAGAGTTGCTTTTATATATAAATCTTTCCTTATCCAAGATCTTTAAGACATGCTGAACTGAATTTTCTGAAGTGACTGATGATTTTGGGTGCCTTAAAATTTGGATGCCTAACTTGCAATGTCTTAAAGGAGCCTGATTTTCAGAGGATGGGTGTTTAGCATTTTCTGATAATCAGGCTCCTTAAGGTATCTCAGGTTAGGTATCCATGAGTTAGAGCCCTGTATAAATCACATTTTTTTAAAATAGTGAATTCACAACAGTGTGAATAGCAAAGTATTGAATTTCCCAGAGTTTGCATTAAATGAGTTTTACAAATACATTTAGTCAGTTTAAAGGATAGAATTAATTTTACAAGTGAGTTTAATCAATTCATTATGTCCATGAAATTGACTAAATTTAGTTGTGAAACTCATCCTTGAAATTGACTAATATTCACAATTTGGGGGAATTTTTACAATTTCTGTGCTCTCTGAAATCGTGATTTATGCAGGGCCCTACCTATAATCAGTAGTCACTTTTGATAATTTAGTCCATTAGCCACAATCCCTTTACTGACATTGGTGCATCATTAGTCTTTCAAAACAATATTTCTTCATCTTCTTCCACGTCACCCATTGTACATGGAACACTATTCTTTAGCAGATGGGGAAAAAAGGCCTTCAAAGGTCACCAATTACTAACTCTTCGGAAAATTGAAAACAATGCAAAAAGGTCATGTTTTTGTCAAAATGTTCCAACCAGCTCTAACAGATCACCTCCTCAAGCTATTAGATCAACAAAATCTTCATCAGTGTCATTGCCAGAAATGAACAGTGTCATTGCCAGAAAAGAATTCTACAAGATAACTTGTAGCCTAGTATTATCGTATCATTTGCATAACTGGTCATCAGGTTCTTCAGTTTACCTTCAACATTAAGTAATAAAATATATTGAACATATTGAATTGACTGTTAAGGAGAGAAGTGTGTGCGTGCTCATGGCGATCAGGTTAACTGTGGGTATGAGTTTCCAGCATGATAGACATGTGACATTGAAATGAAAGTATATAATCGCAAGAGTATAGTGTATACATTAATCAGTTTGCCAAGAATGATTTGGTATTATGGGGGTCATTATCTTTGCAACAATAGGTGACTTCATATAGTCTTCTTCTCTTTAGTTTGCAGAGTTCTCTTTGGTTTGAACTAAAGGTAATCATACCTGACCATCCCATCATGTCTTATTCTGGTGACATCCTTAGCTATAGAGGCACATTAATGCCTACGGAATAAAGTAGCATTTTGTCAGGCAAGGCAAATAAATGGAGAGAACAAAAGCTATGGGATATGAAAAGCATCTGGTATTGACCACCGGCAGGGACTTAATATCTGATTACATGTACTAATGATATGATGTGGTATGACAGTTTATATACTGATATGAAAACATATATAAGTACACCGCACCCTCGCTAGAACGCGAATTCGCATATAACGCAGTCACGGCCATGGATCCCAAATTTAATTACTTTAATTGCAATTCATTTTAACGCAGTCCCCACATTAACGCAGTACCGCGCATGGATCCCAAATCCCACGTTCTAGCGAGGGTCCGGTGTATACACAATGTGCGGATCTACTTGTATTGTACCATGGTGGATATGCATGTATAGTATTACATTGTTGCCATTAAATAGTGTACCAGTACATGGCAACTTCTTGAAAAAGATTCTTTATTTTTAAAAAGTCTGTTTGAACTGATCTGAGACACATTTGTTCATCTGAAATATTTTTATCTGATACTTACAACATTAATCAGCTGGTTCATTAAATGAATACTTGGCCTTTACAAGTATATATGTTAAAATTAAAAAAAGAAAAATTGCTTTCTTTTTAATTATTTGTGCAGTTGGCAGAACTAAGACAGAGACTGGATCATGCAGAGACAGATAGACAAGAGCTCCAAGATGAACTGAGACAAGAACGAGAAGCAAGAGAAAAGTTAGAGATGATGATTAAGGAACTGAAGCTTCAGATTTTGAAATCTTCAAAGAATGGAAAAGGAAAATAGAAGTTGGTAGAGGGAATCTCAGTTGTATCCTTCAAACTGGGTTGTTTGTAGTTGAATTGTGCGCAGTTTACCTGTATGATAAGACAAGCTATTTCTAGTTCCCAAAACAAAAACCATGGTGATGATATATATCTTGATATACATTTTTAGATTTTCTTAACTAATGAAAATCTGCATTTATTTGTACTGGTGTTTTTTCTCAGACAGCTATTAACAATATGAAATCTTTTGTTTTAGAACAATTTCTGCCTATATTTCTAATGCAGGCTTGAGGACTCTGCACCTTTTTAAAGCAGCATTGTATGTTTAAAATATAGTGGTCATTTTTATTTTGCTACCTATTGCATATCCAGTTATAGAAATATATATTTTTTAATTTTGAATTTTTCAAAACCTAAAATAGAAAAACAGAATTTAGGTTACAGTGAGAAATTCAGTGACAATAAGGGCAGCTTTTCATTTGTAAATTAATGCTGCATGTTGGCATGCTGATAAAAGGAGATTGACCATCAGAAATTTAATAGCCAGAGTTTTTTTCCATAATTTCACTTGTATGAATTTTCAACTGTTATTTGTAATAGTTGCTATTAAATGTCCATTATCAAAATGAAAGAATTTCAAAATCTAAGTTGCCGTATTCTGTTGGCACTTTGGAGGAGGATAACATTATTATGCATTTCAGTGTGAAAAGGAACAACTGAAATGGAATCCTGTGTATTTTAAAGTTTAAAAATCTCCCATCTTCCCCCCTTTCTTTCCTCCCCCCCAGCCTTTTCAGGTAACAGCGAAGAAAGTCTTTAAAAAAAAATTGGGGGCTATATTGTAGAAACCTTGAACATTTGGATTATTAACATTGTTTTGAAAATATTAATGCTCTGGAGAATAACAATTGTTATCATTCATATGTGTTAGTTATTTTGATATCCAAAAGTCTCTCTTCTCTGCAGATTTCTTTTAGTACGTAGAAACAGGCCTTATTGACATTTAGGTAATTAGTAAAAAGTTAAAAAAATAAAATAAAGTGAGCTATGACACTTCGAAAGTCATTTTGATACTTTGTATGGTTAAATAACATGGCAGATATTACCATAATCTGCAAAAGTACTGCATGTTCAACCCATAATATTTAAAAATGGATAGAAGTACAGAATCCCTATATTGGTGTACCTGACATTAATGTTGAAAAATTCTTGTCACAAAGGGTTAGATTTAGAATGCCTTATTATTAGAATCCTGACATATTAAATGCATTATTACAAAATTGGGTGAAAAAATACAGTCTTTTGCTTCTTTCCAAAAAGTCTGAAGGATCTCTAATGACAGACTTTAGTTGTTGATTAGAAATACTTTTTGTAGTTCCATGTTCTATAATCTGAATCCACTGTTAACTGAAATTGTTTTGCTGTGGTGTTTGTGTCTTTGTTGTTCTCTCCAGGGTTAAACTAGTGTTAGATAAAACCATGAATAAAAATGTCTGCTTCCATTTTTGTTCTGAATGAGCTAAAATTAAAAACTTTGCATGCATTTTAATTTTTTCACAATCTATTTCAAAGAAATAGCAAATATTGTACAAAGAAAGATTAAGTTGGCATATGTGCCATATACTGCTTGTTCAAGTTTGGAGAGGTAAAATTAAGAATATGTGTTGGGCACCCTTTTAGAATTTTAATAAATTCTTAATGTCCCATCTACACTGAGGATTAAAACAGGTTAAATGAAGCAGTTTGAAACATTGTGTACCTTGCCATTATGGATTACAGAGCACAAAATTTTATCTTTGGATCATTCTTTTAAAAATAGGTATACCTATCTACACTGGGCAAGTCAAACTATTTAAAGGGGGCTACGGGTGGGGACAAAAGTTCCTGTTTGCTCCTTATATGCTTTTGTATTCAACGTCATGTCCATTTGCTTTAAAGACAAAAAAAAAAAAGTCTTACTACTGTATACAAAGTCAATACAGCTATGGGAGAGCTGTGTTCTAGTCTAGTTTACATACCAAAAAAACTGTTGACCACATTCCAGCTGCAAAATCCTTATTATTGGATGTTGGAGCCTGAAAGAACACAGCTTGGCTCTCAGGTTGTGAGTGCTAGTTGACAGCTGGGAAAATACTCTATCTTCTGGTAAACTGAAAATGTTTGATCTGAATGTCATCGAGGCAGTAAAGAATCCCATTATACCATTTTTACTTACATTTCAGAGCATATCTTGCACTTCAAATGATGTTGGTTCACATAGTTTAATCGCCAGTGTAGATAGGGCCTAAAGGGGTTGTTTAATAGTCTTGAACTAGCTGATTTACCACAGTATTTCATGTATTAGTAGTTGAATGGGTAGAGTCCTCACTGGATAGTTACAGTAGTGGTAATATATTCAATTTTCACTTTTAGACTCTGTCTACGCTAGGTGATTTCTGCAAAATATTCCCATTGTTGTTGCCGCTGGTTCAACTCACCAGTGGTAACAACAGTGGGAGTCCAGTGCTACTGTAGGCAGGGCTCCATGGATCTGCCAACATTGTAATCACATGCTATCTAACTCTGTTCAAAACCCGTCTATATGACACAGTGTTTAAAATGCTAGTGGCTACAGTCTATACTAGTATTCCCATTACTGCAGCCAGAGGTGGAGCTGTGGTAAGTTTTAGCAAAACAATTCCCATTGCAGATAAGGCCTCTTAATTATAAAATAATTGTCTCAAAAAGCCACTTAAAATTGATTAAAATATTTTAAAAGGTAACTTTGTAAATATACCATTTAATTCTAAAATTACAATAGTTTTAAATTACTGTAATCCTCCTACATTTTAGGTTCTTTACATAACACAATTTCCACATGTGTAGACTTAATTTTATACAGATTTTAAGTAATAAAATATATACAAATGTGCCATAGGTTTTGTGTCCATAGTCCTTGAAAGATAGTTTTCTAGTAAATTGTAAATACTGTATAAGTTCTAGAATAAATAGTTTTATGTTGAGCTGTTTTACTGACTTAGAGTAATTATGATGAATTGCTTATTTGACAATGTATACAGAGACTTAGAATGCCCATTTAAGAGACTGCTGGCAAAAGTTAATCTGTCAATATGAACTTAATCTCTTAGTCTTATGATGCTAATTTTATATACTAATAGTGAAGTTTGTTTTGATTCTAGTTTCTGTGTATTGGTCTTTTACATAGGAAGTTTGTTTCCCAGATTTTCCTAATATTAATTTTTGTAGAAAAAAACCTAAAATATTCTTAATTTTAAAAGCTTCATTAATGAACACCTAGAAGCAAAGTTGCCTAGAGCACTTTTGGAAGAAAATAATTAATATTCAACAAAAATACTGAGTTTATTAATATACATTTTAATTTAAAGGAAAACTTTCATATACTAGGTACACTCGACTCTGCAAGAATAATGTAATGACTTTAGAAGAGTAGTAAATCTTTTGTAATTTTGGAAGCTGTAAAATCACCCAGCTTCACAAATGCAACCATTTAACACTAGATAAAGAGAGGTTAGCAAAATCTTCACGTTAATTCAAAGAAACTTTGCTTTAGTTTTTGTTATCCTTTAGTTATCCTTTAACTTTAGTATCTGGCTAAATATAGTGGTTATGTTTTACATTCTTGAAGTAATTTTATTCTATATTTAATATATTAATAGCTTAGGTGTAAAATTATTTGTATATAGTAAAGGTAAAATGCAATTAGTGAAGTAGGCAAAGTTAGAGGGCGTATAAAGCTACTGGTATGTTGGCCTGTCAGGCACTGCTCAGGCCCACCTTTTGAAAGTCATGAACAACTTTTTATTCATACATTCTTGGCTTTAGTTTGAAAAAAGCATTAAATTAAAATTGAAAAATTAAATTTTCAATTAACTATAATTATGGGATATGAAATTTTAGAAACATTTTTGTAGGATTAGTTGTGAAGTTGGCCTTGAAATACTTTCATAGTCAGCTTCCTAAAATTTACTTCTTGTTAGTAGGGTATATATTTTGACTAGTCAGTAAAAATATTGACTTTGTATTTTTTCCCCTGCACTTAATCCATGTAATTAATCCACATGACAGAACTTTTTATAGTATGGTAAAGTTAACAAAATACTTAAATACACCTATCTATAATTCTGTGCTTGCAATTGTTAAGTAATTTTATCTAAGCTGTCAACAATAAAATATCTTAGTACAAAAAGCTGCAGATTTCGGTAATGTTACATTTGTTTGTTGCATTTTTAGTATGAGAGGCAGTCATACATTTTCCTTACTGGAATGTTGGTTCTAGTATTTTATATTTGTTACATTTCTCCTTTAGTTCAAAAGGACAGTCAGTTTTCTGCCTAGTAGTCACTTTTGTGAAAGTAAAGGTCACCAATTTACCAACTGCATGGTACATTTCATGATATGTCTCCATTATTATTAAGGATAGAAATTTTATTTTCTGTTGGGTTACTATTTCAGTTGGGAAAACTCTTGAAAAATTGGTGGGTTGAGACATTTCTTCATCAAGCACAGCAAATGAAAAGGTTTTAAAAATAAAGCAAAACACTTGAAAATCAGCTAAATGTAATAAAAATCTATTAAAATATTTTTCTTCAAATGTAGATACCTCACTTGAAAACAAGGAAAGCACAGTTGTACTGTATTTAAAATAATTCTAGGAAATATAAAAGTTTGTCTAAAAATGTTTTGCTGCGGTTATGTTGCCTTCCAGGGTTATAAGGTCTGTGATTGACTAAATCTATTTTTGTGTTTTCATGCTCACTGTTGGAAGTATTTATTGATGCTGACATGGCAGTATAATTAATCTTTCAAATACAAAGAATAACTGATAAAACATTGTAGAATCTATCTCTAATCAAGGCAACAAGTGGAATAACTATTCTGAAATTAGTAAAAAGCCTGAGATAAAATGATCAATGCATTCAACAATTTTTAATTTTCTGCCAATGATGTACAGTTTTATGGTTAGCATTGCTGTGGTTGCATTACATGACATGCAAAGCTGTCCTCTACCTCACGTGAGATTAACCAATATTTTATATGGTTTTAGTAAAACAAGATGCATCTATCTGGTCACTTAGTTTACAAATTTTGAATTATATTTATTGAAACATGACATACTGTGCTCTTAGCTTATACCTCAATTGTATTTTGTGCTGTTTTCCATTTTCATGCCTTGTAAATATTCTGTATAGATTGTGCATTCAAATACAAATAAAGAACTGTACTGTCAAAACACTTGTTTTCATGGTATTTATTTACTGTGCTGTGTGAACTTAACCTTTGTGCAAGACCTTTCTGAGTATTACAGTTCTACACAGGACATTGGAACATTCAGGGCTTGTTTTCAAAAAAACACATAACCTTCCTGCTACAAAATACTTAGGTTGGTTTTTTTTTGTTTGGTTGGTTTTTTTTTTTTTTAAATGCAGGGTCTGAAATCCAGGCCCCCATTAAAATAATAGCAAAATTCCCATTGACTATAGTGGGACCAGGATTTCATTCCTAAAACTTTTGCATTCCTAAAACTTGTAGGTCCACTTTTCCATAACTGTCGCTGCCCTTAGCATCAGTACATTACCTTGGAATTATGAAGCCAAGAGTCTATATACCTGGAAATACCGGTATTTGTATTTATGTAAATAAAACCTCGTGTGCTTGGCAGATTCTGTCAGGAAAACAGGCCTTTCCCCTAGCTAGCTACTGTAAAAATACAATGTACCGGTAGTCTCTCTTTGGGAAAGTGCAAACACCAGCAAATTTATTTTAAAAGAAAATTCCACCCCTCTCTTTACAACCTGATAGTGCACAAGGTAAGCACATGTCATCATATGAAATATGTTGGTGAGAAAGGAATTTAAAATCACAATTGGTATTTCTGAATCTTCTGATGCTGGGGAGCCATTATGCTGAGTAATTATTTGTATCACTGTTAATGTGGGAGTTGTAGATCAGTTTTCAAAATGCTTTAAAAATAAAAATGTATAAGTTCTTTCTATTTTAAAACTAGTATTAACTATTAAAATTATTTTTAATTTCAAAATCATGTCTGATTATAGTCTGTGTTCTCATAAATCAGTGTCTCGAATGTCATTTTTCAGTCCCCAGCCGTCAGAAAGCTCAAATACAAGTAGGAAACTTTAACATCTTGGGACCTGTTCCTGCAAATCCTCTATGCCCAGTTCGCTCATTAAAGCTGAACGTACTCCTATTATAACATTTAGGGCCTGATTCACAGCCTGTTGAAATCAGTGGGACTCTTTCTGTTGACTTTAATGGGCTTTGGGTCAGGCCTTTTTATATACTACTGCAGTGACTGAAGTTTAAAACAAAGATTCTAGTAAAATGATTTTACTTTTTTTTTTTTTAGTTAAATAAAAATTGAATGTTTTCAGTTGACAAACTGTGGAGAATTTCTAGCTGATTTTGCTCTCTTGCTGAGGAAATGTTAAAATATTTATGCTGTCTAATATTTTTGTTCTTGTTGAGAGAGGAAAAATGTTTTGTGATTATGGCACTGGACTAGAACTTGGCAGATCTTGACCATCACAAAATTTTAGTGTGATTGTGGGAAAGTCTCTTAATTTTTGATTGTAAAATGGGGTATTTCCTTATCTCATAGGGATAAATTCATTAATGTTTGTGAGGAGCTCTGACATCAGAGTAAAAAAAGTGAATAAATAGCTGTAGTTAGATTAATGCAACCAACAGAGTAAACCTGCTAGCACATATACTTTTGGGTATGTCTACACTACTCGCCAGATCAGCGGGCAGCAATCGATCCAGCGGGGGTCGGTTTATCGCGTCTAGTCCAAACGTAATAAATCGATCCCCGAGCGCTCTCACGTGGACTCCTGTACTCCGCCGCGAGAGGTGCAGGCAGAGTTGATGGGGGAGCAGCAGCAGTCAACTCACCGCGCTGAAGCCATCACGGTAAGTATTCACGTAGCTGAAGTTGCGTAACTTAGAT